TATATATATTACATACTTTATTAATGAATAAGTCTGTTTCCAATTTAGTTTAAGGACTTGACTGCTCTACCTGTATTGTTACCTGTTCACACGCTAATGAGCTTTGTTCCTGTTTCTTCATTCTCTTACCCATTGGCTCAAAAGGTAATGATGAGAATTGTGTGTTGAAAGATCAAAAATATGATCAAGAAATTTCACAACTTTTAAATATATAATTAGAAAAGGTATTAAAATACTTTATACAGGCAATCTTTCTCTTAAATATTTTTGTTCTCAATTATACAAACAAAATCATTTTTAAACAACACAAATTAAAAAATTGTTTTAATTTTTAATGTATTGTTAAATCATTATGATTTTAAGGTCATAAAGAGTTCATAATTATTATTTATTTTCCATGCATATCATACTTTCTTAATTACCATCTATATGTACTCAAGTTTTAGTTCCCATCTGAAAATTTTATGATAATATACACTAAAAGCAAGAACAATAGTAATGAAGTATATACTAATTCGGTATCTGAACATTCAACATTTGTAATACACATTTTTTTAACTTATAAATATAAACACAAATAGTAGGTCCACAACAGTAACTCTTATATGAAAATAAACCAGATTTAAGAACTTTGATTTTGAGATTCTTTTTTGCTAATTTTGACAATTATTATTCTTATGTGTTGTAGGTTCAAACAAAAATGATTGAAATTCTCCTGGCATACACACAACCAAGTTTAGGCTCTGAAGAGTCTGAAGAAGGTAAGTTTGTGTACTGAGAAAATAAAAGTTTATCAAAAGTTGTAAAAATACCATGATTTGGAATAGCTTTCCATGCAAAATATATCAGTAAAAGTATATAAAATATAAGTGGCAGGACTTTCCAAACTGTTGGATATCCTTACAAGAAAATAAGTATTTAGTATGTGATAGACATATAAACTTTGTTGTCAAAAATTAATTCAAGAAACTGTTTTACAAATGTAGCCGATAATAGTAATTGTCAATATGGAAGCTTGCATAGCTAAACTTCTTGGTTTTTCCTTCGTATATGAAGCTACAGCTTCTTTCATGACCTAAAGGCTACATTTTGGTTAAATGTTGCTTTAAATTATCAGAACTTGGACTGAAAGAACACAAAATACATAATTATTTTAAGCTGTAGGTATTAACCCAAAGAACAGGATTTTATTATTAAGTCCACACAAGTGATTTAATATTCTGAATAATTTGACCGATGGTTATACCAAAAAATGTATGGAAATAGTTAGGAGTAAATATATATATATATTTAAACAACTTGTTTGATTCTACTACTGTATTTTTCGGTGTATAAGACACACTTTTTTACCCCAATAAATGTTGTATACACCGAAGGTATGAATAATGCATATGTATATATACGATATACACAAGCCATGTGTAAATATAT